AGGGCCGAAATGAGATCTTATCAGTGGGCCAACTATTTTATGGATATGGATGTGTAGACTGGGCCGGCGCACGGCGGATAAAGAAAGCATATAATTATACATACACATATTTATATGAACTTTTTACCTTAAAAACACTCAACGAATCGCCTCCTGAAGTTTGGCCAGATACTTAATTAACACCCTGTATTTAAAAATGGTTAGCTAGTGATTTAATAAGCTTTGTTTATTTTAATAGGAAAAAAATACATTTCATAAAAAATAAACAAACCCATAATACAAATACTATACACCAATTAATTAATTTTAAATGTATCTAAATAGGCACTTTAATAATTGAAAAATGGACAGGAGCATTTAAAATCGCTTCATAGAGTATACCAAATATGCTAAAGATAATAATTAATAATATCAATAATTAATAAATCAATAAAAAAACACAAATGGCACATTAAAATCTGCATTATCTGAAATCAAATTATAGCTAAACGGCTAATAAAATAATAGAGACAAGACACCGACATCTATAACGCGATGAGCAGTTTTTAATAATTATTCCGAGTTATTATTACATACTTGTTTTACAATAATTATTTTAATACAGTAGCATTCCTTCAAATAAATTTTTGATTTAAGTATTGTTAATATAGTCATATTAATAATTATAGCCCGTATGATTTCTAAAATAAATAATCAAGCGTGTTTTTATCAGAATTATTAAATGATTAAATAGAAATAGTTAATATTTAGTAACTTCGTAAGTGTTATATTTTAATATAATTATGGATTTAATAATTAAATAATTATCTTAAGTTTAAATTGTGCTAAACTTGTATTAGTTTCAATCATTTATATTTAAAATCTTAGGGAAGGCAATATAGATTTTAGGCAGGAGAACTCAAGGGAAGGACTGTGTAATTAGGAATTAAGACTTTACAATTTTTTTTACTTACCATTTTTTCTTGTCGTTCACGTTGCACGTTGACTTTTCGTTGTGTCACACACAATCTGAATTTCGGATATGATTCAGAACTGACAAATTGGACCAAATATATTAATTGCAAGTATTCAAAGAAATATTTTGTTTAACTTTGCAAACATTTAAGGCATGCAATAAGTTTAAAAAAAATTGACGTGAGATTACTTTATAATTCTTGGAAGTCTTGGACGATAAAGATTTGAATTATTATGGGTCTGTTTTGTTTAAGAAGCTAACAAATAATTTCAAAAACTTAACTATCAAAATATAATAGGTAGCAAATTTTTAAAATCATGCATAAGTATAATGTTCTATACTAATTGGACATACTAAATGTAAACTAGGTATAGTTGCTGCAATCGATAATATATTTTGTTGCCAATCGTAACAAATGTATGTATGCACCTATGTATACTTAAATCTCATTTTTTTTTTTTTACTTAAATAATATAAAACTTAAATCTCATAATGATGTTTATAAATACATAGGTATACATACTATGAGTAGTGGTTGTGACGGTTTTTTATTATATATGATGAAAAGAAGCTGCAAACTAAATTATCGTGGAATTATATTTTAATTTATTTTTATCTACAGTAACTATTACTTATTTTTTGTACAGCGAATTTAAATTTATGGGCCATCCATAAATTTACACCGTAAGTTCGAATATTGGTTAAACCTAGGAATACCCAGGTAATAGCCCGTAATATGCAAAAGAGTGAGTTTAGGTTAGATTAGAATTAGGTTTTAGTTGGTTAGGTTAGGCATTATATAAAAATATAGACCTAATCTAAGCTTAACCTAAACTGACCTTTTTTGTATATTTCGGGCTCCTACGTGTGTAACCCTATGTTTAACCAATATTCGAGCTTTTACGGTAACATAATACTCATTCTGATTGGTTTAATCTGGCTCCATAACGAAACTGTGGGTTCGAGGTGCTATTGCAAATTAATGCCATTAATTCTATGTATATATGTTACGGTTAAAGTCCGATGTCCGGGTTTGGTTATGTTTTTGGTTGTTTTGTTGTGTGTTATTCTCGAGATTTACCGGGTAATGTTGACATTAACCGGACATCGGACCTTAATCGTAACATATTCTCATTTCGTTAATCGTAACAACCTCACATTTCTATAGTGTCGTGACCGTGATCGTGACCGTTCATGAATCCGCACACGTTCATCTCCATCATTAATATTTTCCTTACTAAATTTTTCACTTTTATAAAATGCCATCACGATAAAAATCAAATATCAAAATTATTTAACGTTGCGAACGGTTCACTTGTTCACTATACGTATCTGGAATATATTTGCGAATGGCAATTAGCGATACGTTAGACTGCCGGAGTGCTGACGTCACGAATGTCAAATTGCTTTCCAAACAAGGTTTAGTTCTTTTATATTTCTATCGAGCTCTTCCAAATGACGTCACAAGTTAATATAAAATGTAAAAAACAGGTGATTGCCGACCACCGCCGACTTTTGTGTCTGGTATTTTCAATACGCCTATAATGGTTGCGCATGTTGCAAAATCTGTGAATTTTTTAATGATATTAGTCTAAAGTTGAATGTTTGAATTACTCTGTGCCTATAATGATTATAGTTTATGTTAAATAAACACTTTCAAAAAGTTTCAGACATATATCAAACGATTGTTCGCTCTAAAAAAGACAATGGCATTACTTTCACCGATAAATCAAGATTAAACTCTTCTAATACATTTCCGTATAATGGCTCTGATGATAAATTTTATTTGAGCCATTACTCTAATTGATATAATCCATAACACTATTGATTATAATAGAAAAAAGAATTCTTTTCATTTTTATTACAATAAATGTAAAAGGGTAATTTATTGAACTTTGCTTATAATAATTTAAAACCAATGTAATAATACTCAACATTTATTTTTATTATAATGTTGAGTTGACTTTTTCCTAAACATGCTAGTCCGTTTAAAATACCAAAGAAACCACTTGTTGACACCTTATATCATAGCTACTTATTATCTGTTAATTACATATGTGCTTAAGAGAAACGCATTTTAACAAAAGGAAATGCAACAGAATGCAATTTTTTCGAAATTTTGAATTTAGGTATACGCAACTTTAATCAAAGGTACCTTTGTTTTTAACTATTAAAAAAATTAATAATGCAAAAGAAAAAAAATTGAGGTTTCTAAATAAAATAGTCAACTTTATGTCAAATTCAAAATCTCTTCCTTTTTGAATGTAATAAATGTGGTATGTTTTTGAATGTATTAAACCTCAAACCTTGGTAAGAAAGACAATATTTGTATTATTATTATTTATCTTTTATTAAAGTTCGGAACAGCATAGTTGGATTCTTTGGATAATTAATAATAAAACAAGGTTTTCTCTGCCGTGCTCTTTTACTTGTGAATTACAGGCAGAGTACGGCCACTCCCTTCATTCCATTTAAGTGGATCTATTTACAAATTTAGCGTTTGGTTTACATAACCTGTGCTCCATAAATTTTTCAAAATATTGCTTCTTAGTTCACTAAAATTGTCATTTGAAAATAAAAAAATTATGGGCAAGCTGATTTTTTCAGAGTTTGTCAGCGACCGTCTTCTGAGTGTAAAATGAACAAAATCGGAAATTTTCCCCTTGCGGTTTTTGAGCAATAGGGGTGTTTTTTTTTAAACTGTACTACAACAAAATAATTAGACGCTAATTGTACATAAGAACATTCTCTATAAGTTCGCCTAATGATTTTTTTTATAAGTTTATTATTTCCGGACTTAACGGCCGTTTCATGAGCTCTTTGGGGTGGTTTTCAAAAAGTTTGTTTTACAGCAAATTGACCCGTATGAAAGTTGTTCATAATAAATGGACAAGCAACTTTTCCTCATGATGCAAGATTGTAGCTTCATTATTTTAGGAGATAGCTGGGATTTTTGATTTTTGATTTTTTTTAGATTTTTGGGTGCTATCTCCAAAAATAGTCAAGTTACAAAAAAAGTTCATAAGGCAAAGGTATATGTACTCTTATTTTGAACGAGTTTCCTAGGGTGAATTTGCTGAAAAAAGAGTAACATTGAAAACTACCCTAATTTGTTCATGAACTGGACTCTATCTCCAAAAATAATCAAGCTACAAAAAAAATTCATGAGGAAAAGTTGTTTGTCCATTTATTATGAATAACTTTCATACGAGTCAATTTGCTGTAAAACAAACTTTTTGAAAACCACCCCAAAGGGCTCATGAAACGGCCGCGCTATGTCCGGAAATAATAAACTTATAAAAAATTTCATTAGGCGAACTTATAGAGAATGTTCTTATGTACAATTTGCGTCTAATTATTTTGTTTGTGATAAACTCTGAAAAAATCAGCTTGCTCGTAATTTTTTTATTTTCACTCTCTATACGGCGATACAATTTTACTGGATTATCTGTCGTGCGCATCAGAGGTAATTCACAATAAAAATATATTTAACACGACTTAGGTTCCTTTATTTTATTTAAATTGTTTGTTATACAGTTGGCCAAAATATTACCTCTTTAACTACTGTATAGTGAGAATCAATCTTCAACCGGATCTGAATTTAAGCAAAAAATTTAAAATAGCACACTGTATATTTTTTGTATATCTCTAGGAATATTATTTTTTGCGATATATCATAAGCTGGTGTTAATTTTAAAAATGGCAGTGTTTTTATACAGAAATTTTATTCCGTATTCATTAAAGTGCAATTTTGAACTTACCCATGATATTCGTATTTTTTAATGAAAAATATGACGCTAATTTTGATTAATTCAAATATATTTTGAAACTAAGCTTTTAGTGGTTTCCATAAAAGTAATCATAGTCTGACGAATTGTGCAACGATTTTGTTTTCGCCTGGTATAGTTACTTAAGATCCCTATACAGATTTATTATTATCATGAAGAAGCAAATTATATTTTAGATTTTTTTTAAATATATAAAATCAACTAATATTTTTATGGCAATGGCAAGCATTTATTTTTGTCGTTTATTTATTTTTCAGGTACACTTTTAGCATACACTTTAGTGTCAACATGTGTCTTAATTCTCCGATATCAGCCACACTCGACAAATTTGGTAGAACTGCTACCTCAAAGTCTTCGAACGCCTCTACGCGGTTCACCTACAAAAGAGGGATTACAACAAAGTCCAAATAATGCAACAGGTATACAAGATTTTTGCTACTGCTTATATATTCCTAAAATTGAAACCACATTGAAAAGTAATATAAAGTTTTAACATATGACGTATTATAATTTTGTAGTCTACAGTGTAGTATACATATATATAGTGTATACAGTAATGATGGAAGCGACATCATTTGAAATGTCAAATGTTATTTGAAGTGATGTCATTTGAAAACCACTTGAAATAAAGACCCCTTTGCGACCTCTCCCAGTTTCTTATATTTTTAAAATATAAAATGTACTATTCTTGGACCCAAATATTTAAATTATTCAATAATCAAATAATGATGAATTGTGAAAAACCACATAATTAGAAAACTTGACTGATAAGTTATTACATTTTTTTTAGGATTATATGGTAACCAGTTAGCACCAGATGCCTTAAAGCAAGCTATCGATGCGAATTTAGGCCCACCAACTGCACCATCACCTTCACCATCACCGATCCCATCTCAGCCTACTCAGAGGGTGATGGTAAGAAGAATTACAAGAAGGTAAGAGATTCAATTATCCACGTTATTCTAATACGTGATTTATAACAACAATTATTTTTATAGTACGTTGTTACTACGTAGTCGACAGTTACTGGTGTTACTGGTGTTCCATTTTTAGCACTTATGGTGTTATTCATTTAATAAAAGTTGAAGTTGATCAGACAACACCTAACTTTATCACAGTTAGGGGTTGGAACCTTTGATGTTACAACATCAAAATAAAACAATAATTTAAAATATTTTGGTGTATTGTAGTGAATTAATGGCATTGTAGTGAATTTATTTGGCACCTACCTTGACGAAAGAAAGTCAACCCTATTCAAATCTAAAATGTCACTTTATCTAAACAAGAAAACATCCGACTAATGTGTACACCAGTTATGACCTATGCATGCAAAACCTGAACTAAACGAATATGACCTTTTGGAATTTACACTGATGCAGACACGTGTCCACTGATGATTCATACACAATCGAACGGAATCGAAGAACATAGAAATTTTAGAACAAAAATCGACTTGAAGAGAAGGACAGACGATCACTGTCGATAGTCTTATTGGTGTCTCGAGCCATTTAAAATAAATTCAAATTAAATTCCTTAGATAAATAGTTGTAAATAAGTTTGATAGTTCTTAAGCGTATATAGTTTCTTATTTTGTTAATTAGTGAAAATAAATTTTGTTAATTAATAAGACTAATTGAATTATCCACACGGAACCGAGTAAAAACGTAACAATTGGTGTCAGGTGTGAAGTGTCTAATAATTAATTATAGACTAGAAAAATAAAAATAAGACTGACAATGGCTTCGGAAAAATTGTTGAAATACTTGAGTGTCCGAACTGAAGAATATTTTAGAGGAAAAGGAGTGCGAAACGGTTGGCAAGAAAAGCATTCTACAGGCCCAACTAAGAGGCGTTCTGATCGAAGAAGGTGAGGACCCCGACACATTTTTCTTTGAGTTAGAAAGTGACTTTGAGTCGTCCTTATAAAAACTAGAAAATTACAGAAAATTCTCAAAAATTAGAAGATAAAATTATGGAAATTTTACAGGATTTAATCAATACTTTGGAAGATAAGATCATAGAAAATAGGCCAGCTTTATTAATAAAATACTTAATTTAGAAAAAGTTTATATATCAAAATAATAAAAAAAATCCAGGGAATTAAACGGAAATCTTATGAGAAAACTACGGAGTTACAAGACAAAATAACACAAGTTAAGAAGGATGTAAACAGAAAAATTTTGAGGGACGAAATGGCGAAGGCGAATTTAAAAAAAATCAAGAATCTAAAATATCGAAGGACCCTAAACCAATAGATAATAAATCTACCTCAAAAATAGGAATAAAGACACTACAGTTTAATGGGAAAACCGCTTGGGATAATTATTTTTGCCAGTTTGAAGCCGATGTGAAAGTCAAGGGCTGGTCACTCGCTGAAAAAGCTACCGCTTTGACAATTGCACTGCGAGGTAACGCTACTGACATCCTGGAGACACTGCTACCATCGGATCAGGGAGACTATCAGCAACTAGTATCAAGATAGGAGGATTGTTTACATAGATAACTTGATTTAGCTGAAATGTTTTCAGATTAGCGTCAAATATTCAGTGTACTACTTGTATATTTTTTAATTCTTTCTGAACATAGTGGTTTGAATTTGAGGATTGTTAAAGTTTACTGTAAGTTAATTCCTTTATTCCGAAATAGAGTTCTTGTTTCCTTTTTGCTTCTAACGACGATTGGATTCCAGAGACGATATGTCCCTTAAAACATCATGTGTTTTTTTTTTGTTGGATACGCAAATTTCTTTAATTTTAGGTACAAAGAAGAATGTATATTATCCCCCAAATAATAATTTCATACAGAAAGTGAGAAATAATATAAGGCAAATTTAATACCAGGAAGAATATCTAAGGGCAAGATTAATAGAAAGGTGATTTATAGATCCAATCATAACTTTCTCCAAAAGAGAATAAGAAAAGATACAAAATAATATATTTAAAAATTATTATAATTGAACAATCCAAAGTGTAGAGTTTAAAAGAATTTTAAAAGAAAGTGTGATTCGCGTCCTATGATATTATGTAGTGCATTTAGGAAATAGAGGTTGAGTTTCCTTTGTTGAGATCTTACAGTACCATACTCTAAATAGAGCGTCGACTACCTTTCATATGTACTTGTGATGTGTGTCATCAGTGTTTTACAAGTACACAGAACCTACAGTTTATCGCCGAATCCGAACGGCACTATTTGAGAGGCTTTACAAGACAAATATACTTAAGGTGGTTTGCCATTACTTTGCTTGAGGTGGCAAGTCGCTTGTTGCTCTATCTAGATAAATAAATATGTTTATTTTAAATAAGTAAAGCTGGGACAGTACTGGCTGGGGATCAAACCCAATACCTCGCAGATCGACACGTTACTGCTGGACCGACCATGTTAAGGTAAAAAAAATATAAATATATTTTATTCCGTTTTACTTTGAACGACGGATAGAGATAGATTCCCTAACACCAAGTGGTTTGTGTTCGTTAGACAAGCTTGGGTACAAGGAGGAATGTACAAGGATATATATTGTCCTCTAAATGATAATTCAATACGGAAAATGAGAAATATAATGCAAATTTGATACCCTTTGGTATTTTACCCAAAGGAAAAGTTTACTAAAAGGATAATGTATTGATACAATCATAACTTCTTTCAAAAGAAATAAAAAAAAAATTTACAAAAATAAAGTAATTAAGAATTGATAGAGTTTAATAATCCAGTCTGAAGTAAGAATTTTTAAAAGAAAGTGTGACTAATATACTACGATATTATGCATTGAAGTTAAGTTAATTTTTTTTATTTTGAAATATAAAATATGAATGTATTTTTAGTTTTTCCTTTTGCTTTTAACGACGGACGGAGATATATTCCTTAACATCAAGTATTTTTATGATTTTTTATTTTTTATTTATTTATCAATAGTGATTAAGTATTTTTATATTTTTTCAGGGACTTCTTAATAAAATGAATGTTTTAATTATTATGCTTTAGTTGAAGAGTATGTTCTGACATGGAAAATAAATTGTTTTTTTCAACAAGCTTTACAGTTGTAACAAAATTGTATTTTTATAATTATATCCAAACATGTATAATAATATACGACATGATAATGTATAAATATATAACAACCGAAGAAATCACTAATGCTAACATCTGTATTTGGAGCAAAACTGATATTGAACCATATGTTCTTTAAAAAAGACGTTTTGCTATGTTTTCTCTTAGTACTTTACATTTTGTAGATTATTATAATTTTGTAAAAATGGTTAAATATACCGTTGATATAAATAAATTAATTAATATTAATTTTTAATTGATTACAAGATATAGAATGGAACAAAACGTATCATTTCATCATTTCATACCGCTTACAATCCAACATAAAGTACTATTACGATTACAAAATAATTTAATTGTTTTTTAACAAAACTTTTTGCTTTTCTTTACAGTTCGCCGGATAGTGACGACACGTTTGGTGGAGATGAACCTGAAGAGGATTTCTCAATGAGAGATGATCAGTTTCTAGTTTCTGATAGGACAGAAAATAAATTTTATGGTAAGGGCTACAGTTTGCTACAGTATGTTGTTTCCGGTTTAGTTTGTAATATTGCAAAACGGTAATACCTATACAGGGTGGTGACAATTTTGATGCTCAACATTGGCATCTCAGAAACTACGAGAGATACGAGTTCGGTTAAATGGGATAAAAGTTGCGTAATTAGATGTTTGACAACCACCTATAAAGAAAACCCCGGTATCTTGATTAGTTTCGGATTTATGTAAAAAAAAACAAAAATAATACGTTTACATTAAATGACAATATCTTCAGAACTATTGTATCTATTGGAACGTAACTTGGTAGTTTAATATTTTTGACATCGGCCAATTAGATGCTGTTTTCAGAAATTTTTTAAGCCTAACAGTCCGCACAACAGTCAAGTTTTTGTTTTCTTATGGCCGCCATTTTGAATTTTTATACTGTTAGATAGAGCGAAAAAAAGTCTATACGGTGGTATCTAATTTTTATTCATTAGTATGTAAATTCACTAAAAAAATATATTTTTTTTTCAGAATTCGCCGAAGATCAAGTCTTCCTTGGAAATCCAATTGACACTTTATATGTCAGCAAGTTATTTTTTGTTTTAAGTGTCAAATCGGGTTGCACAAAAATGGTATAGTAGAGTTCAATACAGATCAATACAGAACCTAAAATTTTCTTGTCAAAAATGCCAGCCTAGACGTTCAGAGAATATATTACTGTGGTCTGGTTTCTCTAATTAAATGAGGATTTTCTTTTGCACAATAATGTGAATTATTTTCTGTTAAATGTGCCAGAATTTGTAAATAAAGATTGAGCCGTCTATAATATGTTTTCTAGAAAAAGGAGGCTCTTGAACACTTTTCCGGAACCATTTGCAAAATTGTAATCTTCTCTAGTGATCACCAGCATGTTAAAAATGTAAATTTGGTATACATTTAAATTTAAAGTTGCGATATTTATGTTTTTTGATAATTTCCCTACATAAGAATCACTTATTCAACACTCGCGAGTTATTTTACTTTACTACTAGAAGTTTCCGGATTTATTTCAATCTGAATGGCACATTAAAATCATTAAGCCTTTCAAAATATTGTCCTCTTGATTCTTAAAGCTACCAGTAATTGTTAAATTTTTTGAAATCCTTACGAAAATAGTACGATGAAACTGCATCCGTTCAGGATGCAATATTCTATAACTTGCTCATGCCATATCGGAATTTCTATTATTTTTAAGTAAACATCACACGCACATAGGTATCTCGTGTTTCCTCACTGGTATCTCGTGTTTGCTCACTACATATTGTTGACTGTTAATACGTTTTACACTATTTACTATAAATTTTTGTGTCCAAATTTGACACTTAATAGAGCAAACAAAAACTAACTTGCTATCATATAAAATGTCAATTGGATTCCAAAGCAGACTTAATCTTTTGAGCGAATTTTTCAAAAATCTTATTTTTTTAGTGAATTATAAAAATATTAACATAATAATGAATAAAAATTAGATACCACCGTATAGATTATTTTTTGCTCTATCTAGTAGTATATAAATTCAAAATGGCGACCATATGAAAACAAAAAATTTACTGCTGTTGTGCGAAATCTAGAATGCTTAGAAATTTTCTGAAAACGACATTTAATTGGCCGATGTCAAAAATATAAAACTACCAACTTACGTTCCAATAGATACAATAGTTCTGAAGATATTGTCATTTAATATAAACGTATTATTTTCATTTTTTTGACATAAATCCTAAACTAATTTATCCTAAAAACAAGATATATAAAATTAATCCTAAAAACAAGATACGGGGGTTTTCTTCATAGGTGTTTGTCAAACATCTAATTACGCAACTTTTATCCCATTTAACTGAATTCGTATCTCTCGTAGTGTCTGAGATAGAGATGTGTAGTTCGTGAACGAACTAGTTCCAATGATCTATTCCGACCCCGGAATGAAAGGAACTAGTTCCTGGTTTCTCAAAGAACTAGTTCCTCAGGACCTATTCCGGGATCGAGACTGTGACCGATATATATATATATATATATATATATATATATATATATATATATATATATATATATATATATATATATATATATATATATATATATATATATATATATATATATATATATATATATATATATATATATATATATATATATATATATATATATATATATATATATATATATATATATATATATATATATATATATATATATATATATAATATATATATATATATATATATATATATATATATATATATATATATATATATATATATATATATATATATATATATATATATATATATATATATATATATATATATATATATATATATATATATATATATATATATATATATATATATATATATATATATATATATATATATATATATATATATATATATATATATATAATAATAATAATAATGCGACGGATCGGCCAGCGCGCGTAGCCCAATGCCCGATGGTAGGCAGGAGTGGGGAGTGCCAGCCGTAGGTTATCGGATCCGGACCTAGAAAAGACTAGTTTACGTACGTACGGATCGGGCCAGCGCGATCGATGCTAGGCAGGAGAGGGAACTACCAGCCGTATGTTATCGGATCTGGACCTAAAGGAACTAGAGGAACTAAATAAAACAAAAGACTAGTTTACGTATGGATCAGCCAGCGCGATTGATGTTAGGCAGGCATGGGGAGTGCCAGCCGTATGTTATCGGATCCGGATATAGTGGAATTAATTAAAAGACTAGTTCACGGGAATCTATTCAGTCGGCAGATCCGAGATATAATACAAGGCGACGACGATGGATTCGGCCTTTCTATTGCCACAGCCGGCATAATTACCACAGAAAATTGTCGTGGATACTGTTTTTGATTTTTAGTTTGTTTTTTAAATATTTTATGGGAATGTGTCACTTTAGGTCCCTAAAATTAAGAAATTTCTTATAAAACGAAGTAGATATTCTGAATTTTTAGACAAAAACTTGAAGAAATGGAAAAAGCTTGAAGAAACGGAAAATGCAATTTTTCGTAAAATGTTCGTACCTAATATTTGCTCCAATTGATTTGTGATATAGTTTTTTAAAGTCTGTTTTGAGTTTATTTTTTATTTTTTTTTTGTCTGCAATACAACTTACCTATATGTTTTTAACATACACAATTACACGTCTCGTTATATTTCATACATTATAAAAATTATAAAGATCATATTCTGAATAGTTCTGACTGGCAACGAAACCCATTAGCAAGCAACGGGGATGTCAATGTTAGTCGGGAACTATTGTGAACTAAAGACCTAGTTCAAGGAACTATTCCTCTGGGGGAACTAGAACTAAGGAACTAGAATTCCCACCTCTATTCTGAGATGCCAATGTTGAGCATCGAAATTGTCACCACCCTATATACTGTGATATTTTTAGTCTGTCAAAACTCCTTAATCCTTTCAGAATTAATTCATTTACAAAAAGTGCATTTTGTACAACCAATAAAGAATTGACTCGTCTTGTATTTCTAATCATGCATGTAAAACGTTTGTGGCCCTTTTTTGAAGGGATTTTATTTTATGAAGTAAATCTATTTAGTTTCGTAATTTAGAAAATTTTTGCAGGCACTCTACATGGTGCTGGTAGTGCCACTAGTACCAGTGGTGTAGTGGGTTCAACAGTAGGTCCTAGTTTAGGATATATAGGACGTAGGTTGCAAGTAAGTGCAACAATTATAAATATTTATGTTTTGATTTTATTTACTTATTTATTGCTACATTTACGTGAATATTTTGATCAATTTAATTTGTTGTTTTTACTCTTTAGGCCGCTACCTATCTTTGTCCCGCCATATTCCCATGGGTAGACACTGGGCCTGCCACTGCAGAGTCGGGCATGTTTGTGATGAAAATGGTGGGAATCCTCTATATTCTAGTTATCATCTTTGACTTTATTGTTGTATTTGGGATGGACAACATGAACACGACAACGGCGGTTTTCATATTTCTGTTTTTCTTTGCCATACTTGGCCTGTTATTAGTGATTTCAAGAAAGCCACAAAACAGGTAAGAAATAATAATGATAGTTGAAAATCGAGTATATGTTAACAATCGTTGAATTTCGTATTTTAAAGAATGTTTCGCCTTTTATACCACTCAAGCTGGTTCCACACGATGCGCGATATAGCAAACACCTTCCAACGTTGGACACATGAACATTTGCCAATTCGTGTAGGAGGCACACTTGTCAATTGCAATATTGTCGAAACCTATGCTAAACGATGCGTTCAACGTTGGAGGCATTTTATAGGACCGAATTTATTGTTGACAGGCGCTAGTGAAAGTAACATTTACTAAAAGTTATCAATAAAAGTCATTCTGTTATAAAATATGATACATCAAAGTTAGAACATATAAAACTGGAACATCAAACATTGAATCATCTCCATATTTAAGCTAATACACTTATCTTAAAACTACAACAAGTCTTTAAGAAAACAGAAATGTTAAAATTAAAATATTTATGTAATAATTTTAATCTTAAAATTGTATCAAGCATCTAGTCGCTACCGGGTAACTGACTATCAATTAGAGTATTGCACCAATGAGTTTTGATTTTTTTGGTTTCAACCTATTTCTTGCGATTCTCTATTATTTTTACGTCAAATTTTCAATCATCTGATGTCATCTGATGATCGGATAGGCTATGATCGTAATTTTCGGATAGGAAATTACAGGCGGTTTCTATGAGATTAAAAAGCAAAGCAAATGTAAATGGTAGCATTCTCTAATAAACTCCAGTAAATACTAGCATTCACTACTAAAAGCTTGTTTGAAAATTAGTGTTTAACTCCTACAGGGTGTCTCATTTTGGTTGAAATAATTTCTTATCTCCGTTATCGGTGAAAATAGAAGGATGCGGTTTGAACAAACTTGTTCCACTTTTTTGTCAAACGGAACATGCTGTAAACAAAATTTTCATAGCCCTATTCGTTTCTGAGCTACATCGTTTTTTGAAAATTTTGCAATTTGAGACATACCCCCGATACCCCTCTGTATCGATAAACCTCTCTATATCTCTGTTATACAGAAAGGTATCGAGAAGGTGAAAAGGGTATCTTAAATTTCAAAAAGACCTTGTTGCTCAGAAACGAATAGGGCTATGAAAATGTTGTTTACAGCAACTTCCGTTTGGCAAAAAAGTGGGACAGCTCTGTGCAAATCGCATTCTCCTATCTTCAATAATAACCGGAGATATCGTATGTACTATACCATATTACGTTTTCAACAAAAAACGAGACATCCCGTACTGGCGTCTTGTTACTAAATCAGTGAATGTGAGCTTTTACTAGTAATTGTTAACATTCATGGATTTGTTGCATTTACTGTAACATACCTATATACAGGGTGGTTCGAAGACCAAAAAACTTGTTTAACGTAAAAAACGTTATAAATATACATATTTTTACTCAGTAGTTTTATACAGGCTCTGACGAAAAGTTATTACTCTTCAAACCAGTTAAAAATATGTAGGTGAGGCTCTCTGTAAGTGGGAGTCATATTGACATCAAAATCAAATTTCTCATATAAAAAAACTCCTAGACACCAATTTTCACTTAAATATCCACGATAGTTTAGAAATGATTTGGAAAAAATCGAAAGAAAAATGAAACTTCTACACCTGTATCTCCGAAACGAAGCATTTTAGGAGATACATTTATACGAACTTTTTTACTTATTTTTATCGGCCTAATATGCTGCCTAAGACTCCCGAATACAATTCAGACCGCCCTGCATAGAAAGTTGGTAGAATAAAAATAATAATCTATAAGAATCAAAATTTTCATTTTCCTTTTCATCTTTTCATTTGTAGATCTTTTTTGAAACTTATCAAAAATATGAAATAAAAATACATTAAAGCGGAAACATATACAAATAAAAGAAAAACTAAATATTTAAACTATTCAATTTTCCGGATTTTTTCAGAAATACTCTACTCTTTATGACACCAGGTCTGCCTTTTGTCCCTGCAATCGCAATCACAGTCAACATCTACCTTATATTGAAACTTTCAAAACTAACTCTAGTAAGATTTACTATATGGATGACATTGGGCTTTATCATGTACTTCTACTACGGAATCAAGAACAGCACGTTAGAAGAAAAACTGGATGTGGATGGAAATATAGAACTGACAGTTACGGACCATGAAAAGGCCAAATTTAATAGCACGTCACCGTACCGAGGCGACCAGAATATTTTGTAAGTATAACAAAAAAATTGGCGCCGGGAGGCACGTATAGCCGCCCATACTAAAATATGTTAATATCTCGAAAACTGCGACTTTGACTGATTTTGATGTTATTACAAATTTTGTTAAAATATTATTCCTAATCTTAATTTGAAAACCGCGTTTCGCTAGCTACTGTAATTTTGGAGTTACGATTTTTTTAAATTTTTAACCCCCTCCCATACCCCCTTACCAACCCCCCACCCCCACCAAAAAACTAATGGCCAGATTCTCGGGTGCCACAGTATTTTTGTGCCAAATTTGGTTAAAATCGGTTCAGCGGATTTTGAGTTATCGTGTTACAGACTGCAGACAAACAGACAGACAGACACCACGAAAATATTTTGTATTTAGGTCATTTATGACCCAAATAACTCATTTTGAGTGAAATAAAAAAACTTTTTTTTTGCCGATCCTAATAGCCTACCATACCTATTGGTATGATCGGCTAAAAATGTAAAAACGAATAATTTTACATCAATGTTTTAATTTTTGCGCATTTAGATTCTATACAGGGTGCTACAAATTCTAGGTACGAGCATTGGTATCTCGGAAACAGTAATAGATACGAAGATGGTTAAATTGGGGCAAAGTTGCCGCTTTGGGATGTTTACCGAGATTCCATCAAAAAAGTTTTAAAAACTTCAAGGATTGCTGAGTTTTTTGGTAAAAATGGATTTTTTTTGAAAATTAATTTTATTTTTTCCTGTTGTTAATTTTTAGAGAATCAAAAAACTAATTGCATATTCTCATGGCCACTTTATTAGGCCTATCTGTTAGTGTTTTTAGATTTTCAAACTAGCTGATGATTTGTGAGATACAGAGGCCAACTTATTTTTTTTAAATACAGACCTGCATTTTTTATTTCAGGTTTTGAAAGAACTCAATCTCCTGAATACAATGATATGTCACACTTTATACATTTTTTTGTTTTGAATACCGCAACAACAACAAAACTATTTCATTATTATTTAAAATAATTTCAAATCCGACTTTGGTTTTTAATTTTTTTAATCTGATTATATTCATCGCAACAATAACTAATTACTAATTAACATTGAATAAGGAAGATGGAGCCAGTTAGAAGATTCAAATAAATAATGTCCAGGTCAGCAATTTAAAGATTCTTTTACTTTTTTTATTGTGAATTTGGAAATCTCAGTGTGCGATCTAATAATATGCATAATAGTAATCGTATCTAGTTATTATAAATAATCAACTTCTACAAACTAGTTTCTAATGCTATACATGTTCGAAAGGGTTACCAACCTCCCGATATTACACAAATTTATTTTTCGTTCAATTTTATTTATAACTCTTTGAACTTTCTTCTTATACTTCCGAATGCATTTTCCAATACTCCTTATTGTAAAGGTTGAGATGTATTTGATTGTTTGTATTATATTTATACGTATTATTTATTTTATATAATTTTTTATTATTTTTTGCATTTGATTTGCCGTATTGAATGTTTTACTCCACGTCATTGTTAAGTTTGAAAGGTTATCAATATTGCAACGATGAATAGATTAAATATTATAATTAATAGATTGAATATTTTAAAAAAACAGAGCCGGACTTGAAATTAGTTTAAATAAATAACGTTCAAATGTCCGAAACAAAAAAAAATATTAAGTATGACATATGATTGTACTCAGGAGACCGAGTTCTTTCAAAACATAAAATAAAAAATGCAGGTCCGTATTTAAAAAAAATTAAGTTGGCCTCTGTATCTTACAAATTATCCGCTAATTTGAAAATCTAAAAATACTCTCCGATAAACCTAATATAGTGGCCACGAGAATGTGTAATTAGTTTTTTGATTTTCTAATAAAATAACGGCAGGAAAAAATAAAATTGATTTTCAAAAAAATTCGTTTTTTTCCAAAAAAACTCAGCAATCCTTGAAATTTTTAAAACTTTTTCGATGGCATCTTGATGAACATCCGAAAGTGCAACTTTGCTCCAATTTAACCATCTTCGTATCTATTACGGTTTCCGAGATATCAATGCTCGTACCTTGAGTTTGTGGCACCCTGTATAATAATACATAAAGTATAAAACTAGTAACACTATCTATATATCTTCATTACAGCCAAGACCAAGCTACATACGACTGGAATCCAAATACCAGTTGGGATCACACCCCTTCTTGGGCTCTACCACCACAACCGCAAAACAATCCTTGGGGCCAACCTCAGTATCAAGTAGAACAACAGTATAATGTGGAAACGAACAATACCAGGTACAAAAATATCTGAAAATCCAATAAGCAATAATAAATACGAGATATTTTTAAACATTTTTTTGATAGACAAGAAAAAAATATTGTAGACGTATAATTATAATTATTACAGACAATGTAAAAATCATTGATGACCATCGATTAGCGAAATTTGTGTCTGATGTTTAATCAACTTCCTAGGGGGCTACGCTGATGTTATTTATCTTCTTAAAACTATTTTTTATTTTTCTACAAGTCTCTTGTGGACCTACACACTTCTCCCATGATTTTCCGACATACTAAATTTTTATTTTACAAGGTGACGATTCTCTCATACGACGCGGAGGCTCCAAGGAGAACGACGCGACAGTTTGTATTGAAATGAAATTTTGTGAGCACATGTAGGTTAATTTAGAGCATTTTTTTAAAATATAGAGAGTTTTACAGGGTGTCCCCATAAAAAGTTACACATCAAAGTTGTGTTTATATTAATCGATTTTCGGATTCTAGGAGAAAAATAAAGGTGAGTTTCATTACACAATTATAAGGTTTTTGACATATTTAACATTTTCTTAAAATGAAGAACAATTTTTAAATTTCAATAAAAGTTACCTAAATACAAATTTACCCGGTATAGCCCAATACGTAGTTAAAATAAGGATTGAACTTTAAATCAAATAAAAATTTGGCCCAAAAAGTTATACAAGGTAAGATAAAATTAATACTAAAAACTACTCTTTTATTTTAGATGAAATATCCAGTATATTATTTGGATATTCAATGGGGGAATTCATGTCTCTTCAAAATACTATAAAGATTGCCTAACCCTCAAACAAAGATTTTCCTAAATATTTTCATTTTTATGATTTAGTATCAGTAGATCTTTATTATTTGATAAAATCTAGGTAGCTGTGATACGTATAACGTTACTTCAAGATAGCTGTGAAATTAGTTCAACTTTAACAACTAGTTATCATTGTGTATCAGACAAAATAAAAAAAATCTGCAGAAACTTGCCAAAAATGGAAACACATACATCAGAGGAAATTGATATGATTCTATTAGTTGGTGACTACAGTGTGCATCCGCCATTTAATAGACCTTAAATATTCCTAATTTATCTAGTCTTGACTTTTTTAATTGAGGTATGTTATAGACAGTGTTTACAAAACTCGACCAGCTATTGTCGACAACATTAGAGAAATTATTGTAATATATATAGGACGTTCCATTACAAAAAAACAAACTTTGATGCATAACTTTTTTTGGGGACACCCTGTAGAACTTTATATATTTTTATAAAATGCTTTCAATTAACGTTCATATGTTCTCAAAATTTCATTTCCATATAAACTCCTGTTCACATTGGAGACTCTGCGTCCTATGAGAGGCGCAATAATGACATACCCTGTATATCATTATAATTATTGTATAAGTATTTATTTAGTATTATTAAGAATTTCATATTTTTACATGAATCATTTTTATAAATAAATAAACAACGCTTTATTGTACAATAAGCCAAAATAGCTTCATCGACAAAACATTTACACAACAAACAAAAGCACAAAAAAATATACAAATAATAAAAAAATATCATACAATACAAATCAATTCAAAAAAATTTACGTCATTAAAATTACAAATAAAACATACATGGACATTGTAGAACACAGGCCTATCAATAAAATTATACAAAAGGAAAATTGTAAATGGATAAAATCATGTAAGAGTTATAAAATATTAAATACTAGACCTTTAACCAGTGTGTGAGATGATCAAATTTTAAAATTCAAAAATTGTTCATGATTAAATATCAAAAAAAAAAGTCGTTTACCAGTAAGTATGATTTCAGAGTTTTGCGAAATGCGGGAAAGAATGAAAGTGACTTGATATTAAAAGGCAGATGATTGTACAGGATGGGTCAAATTCGACGCTTTTAAATGGAAACACCCTTTTCTATAGCAGATAGACGAAAACTAATATCGGTGTTTGGAGCTCAATTTTCATCAAAATCATGATGGTGAAAACCGCATCTGTTACCGTTTAGGAGTACCCCGTAACTCAAAGTTCGTTTTTCAAAAATGTGCATTTTTAACAAATCGCTGTAACTTTTTTGCTATGGAAAACTTTGCATTTCTATGAAAACATTTCCAAAGCACCTTTTTACGTAGAATTTAATGGTATAAGTATATTTTTTTTAAAATTAATAATTTAAGTCAGTTAGTTATCAATAAAATTGATTTTTTATTTGGGACACCCTCTATATTTTTAATTAACCGAAAAGAATTTAAAATTACCTTTCCAAAAATATAGCACACTTGATATTTTGTTATATTCCCCTTCGAAATACAGAATTTTTAAAAGTTCTCCACTTTTAACTAGTAGGCTTTGGACCCCTTATTGATGATATGCCCTTAATGGAACTCGAAACGATATTTTTCCAGCAAGAAGAGGCACCTCCTCAGAACGCTAAAGTTATCAGCAAATTTTTGCAGCCATTTTCAAGAATAATTGAATAGCTAACCAAGATCCCAGCCGTTGGCCGTCGAGGCCACCTGACTTAGTGCCCATGGATCTAATCCTATAGATATATTTGCGGAAGAATAAAGGTTCCTTATTCTTCCGTATAATCTAGACAAGAATTAGAAATACTTACTTAGCAGTTATGAGAGGGAGTCTCTCACCCCCACTGAGTTAAGGAATTCCGCGAGAAATGTTCAGAAACGGCCCCGTCTGTCCATAACAGAAGATGGTCGATATAACAGAAGACGGTCGAACACCTGCAGCAAAATCTCATGTCTTGGTTTGGTATTTATTTTTATTGTTATCAGATATAGTTTAAATGTGTTGATGTTGGTTAAATATATTTTAAATTGTTATAAAATTCTGCATCTCTCATAGCAAATATTATTTTCGTTTTAATTGATGCTCACAGCTAGAATTTTTTTGCATCACAGCCGGTGCCATTCAAAGCCTACTTAATTAAAGCGGGCGAATTTTCGTATACTCTATATCTCGAAGAGGAATCGAGCATAATATCAAGTGTGTTATATTTTTGGAAAGGTAATTTTAAATTATTTTCAATAAATTACAGATATACAGGGTGTCTCATATAAAAAATCAAATTTTCTGTTGATAATTCTTAAATTATTAATTTTAAAAAAATTATACTTAAACCATTAAATTCTACGTAAAAAGGTGCTTTGGAAATGTTTTCATAAAAATACAAAATTTTCCATAGCAAAAAAGTTACAGCGATTTGTTAAAAATGCATATTTTTGAAAACACGTAATTCCGAAACAGTAACAGATATCGATATGCGGTTTTCACCATCATGTTTTTGACAAAAATTGAGCTCCAGACACCGATATTAGTTTTCGTCTATCTCCTATAGAAAGGGTGTTTCCATTTAAAAGCGTCGAATTTGACCCACCCTGTACATTTTCTTGGCATTGTACAGTATTTAGCCTTTAACTAGTTCTGAGCTCGGGGTTGGCAGACAAAGATCGTGCTATAATATTTTCATATCATCATATTTTCTTTCTATTTTCAGATCGGTCATTAACAAGAGTCAAAAGGTAACAAGCAATCTAAGAACTGGTACATCTTCTGGAAGTAAACCATTTGGTGATACCACGTCAGGTACGACTGGAAGTAGTTTGTTCGTAAGCGATCCCACAGCTTTTCCCACTTGGGATGACTAGTTTGTACAATGGAATAATGAGAATGAATACTAAAAGACGATTTTGTTGTTCTTGTTGAGTATTTTTACATTATAGATAGTTCAAATAATTGAATAATTGCTGAAACTGTTTGACGAAATAAAAAATAATGCTACATTCGTAAAAAATGGTTAGTAATACAGGACGTCCCTCTGGAAATTGATTCACCCTGTATAACAATAAGCCCATTTAGGAAAAATCTAAGAATTTTTAAATCACCTTCGTTATTTTTAAATAAAATCCATATACACTCAGCCTCAGTCAAATTTAAACTACTTTATTTTTGTTAATTTTAGCCCTATTTTCATGAATTTTTTAGCAAGCTGTATATAATTATATCAACTTTAATTTGTAAACTCAGTTTTTTTTTATAAACTTTAGTATTTGGCATATTATACAGGGATAATCGAGGGGTTGTTTTTTACCCTAACTTTGACACACCATGTGCAATAATTTCGTCTCTAAATTTTCCTGAAATGTAATTTTAGGGTCAGAACCATGTCTCCTGAGCATTTTATTTTTTGGATCATGTCTTGGTTAATTTTTAAGAGCGAAATGGACTTGAAACCAACAATTTGCAATTTTTTCAACTATAACTTATTTTTGAAGTTTTTTTTCAATAACAAGGCAGCTTTGGTGGTTATTGTGAACTATATACTACTATGAACAGTATGAACTGCCCATCATGTTCGACGTTTGGGAAATGCTTGGCAGGAAGGTTAAGGTACGCGCACACTGACCAGAGCCGCACTCGCCGCACGAATCGCAGTTGTATTCTTGTCGCGCACACTGAGCCGTACCGAACGCGCCACACGCGCCGCATTATTCGCTATTTTGTTTCTTTTTGCCTCTAAGGCTACGCTCACACGGACCACTTTCCAACGACAAAACGGTGTTTAAGCTGTCGCAGCTATCGACGACGTTACAACCACAACTGCGCGACAAAAATGTCGTCGAGAAGTCGCCCGTGTGAGTTGATGGACGACACCCCAACCACAACTAAATTTTTCATTCAGTCAACACACCTACCACACTCGTTTTCTCATTTTTCTCTTTTTTTTTCTTTATCTTCAAAATTGTTATAAAATTTGGTGCACAATGTCTCCCATGGCATGGATTTTTCAATTCTATTGCTGTATGTATCTTTTGTGTAGTCCCAAATGCAAAGAAGAAGGCGGATTTCCTCTATAAAGAGTTCCGTGTCGAAATCTTCATCCACTTTTTAAGAAGAAGCGTTCAATACGCAGGCAACAGAGGTAATGCAAAAGTAATGTAAAGGTATGACTGGAGTCGGCATCATATATAGATAAGATACTATAATATAATTTACTATAATAAAAGTCGGTCTGGCCATCATCTGGTCCAGTTGTGTTGTTGTTGTCGCGTCGCCGTCGTCGAAAAATACATCCGTGTGAGTTGGATTCACTACTGGCCGACGACAATTATGTGGACGGTATCGACCACGCACGGCGACAGTCGCCGAAACCGACTGCAGTTTGTCGCCCGTGTCAGCGCTTCACCGGATTTCCATTTAAATCCGTTACTCTCCAGAGGCGACCACATTTTTGTGTTTCAAAAGTCGCTGTAAAGTCATCCGTGTGAGTGTACCCTTAAGGTGCGTATTCACTATCCGAACGAATGTTCATTCGTTCGTTCGGTAGTAGTATGGACGGGACCGGATTTTAGAACCAAACGAAAACAGCTTAACCCATTCGTTTGCCAACGCCTTTGATGTACCAACTCGAAACGGATGGCCGAGCGAACGAACAAACGAACGACCGCATGCGTTCGGTCCACCGTCCAAATATACCGAATTCCATTCGTTCGCTCGCTCGTTCGTTCGTTCATTCGGAATAGGCACCTTAATACACCCGTATTTGCCAATCGAATTTCTCACCAGTCGCTTCCGGAGTTCTGTCTGCGATGATAAGCGTGTTTTTTTAAATTTTCTCGACAATGAATTACAACGAACAAGAAATAATTATAAGCTCCTTGCTAATAGAAGAAGAGGAAATCACGAGAAAGAATCGAAAGTTATAGGTTCACAATATTTGCAAATATCCACATTATTTCCATATTTAAGTGAGGATGAACCAAACATTTTTCAATATGAGCCATAAAAAATTTACGAACTTTCTTAGCAAATTGAATTTCTAATATCCTCTTCGGCTACCTACGTAGAGTGGAAGGAATTGCGTGTGACGTCAGCAGCACTAGCGGCATTTATCGAAAATCATTCTGACCCAACAATGCTGGCTGCATTTTCGTCGATGCGATTCGTGCGGCTCTGGCTAGTGTGCGCACCTTCATTGAAAGTAACACAAACAATATTTTTCTTCGGTCGATGCGGCGAGTGCGGCGCATCTGGCTCTGGTCAGTGTGCGCGTACCTTTAAAGGTCGCGAAGCGTTACCAGCTTCATTAAATGAACTTCGCTTGGTCCTTAAAGAAGAATGGGAAAACATAACGCAGTATGATATATGCAGCCTCAATGACAGTATGAACGAACGTACCAGCAATTATAGCAGCCAGGGGAAGAAATACAAAGTATTAGGGTATTTTTTACAATTTTTTTTCTGTTTTTATACTTCAGTATTACAGATGTTTTCCTGAATATTGTTAGTACTGTTATCGTTATTAATGTTTATTAAAACCAGGACTGTATCGTCAGTCTTTAACGTTTTTTTTAATTTAGTATAGAGTATCCGATACAACGTAATATGACGTTACGACAATAGTCACCAAAACCATCTCGTCTTTTTAAAAAATTACATCAAAAGTAATGATAACTAAAAAAATTGCAAATTGATCGTGATCAGTTCATTTCGCTCTTAAAAATTAACCAAAGCACGCATTGACATGATCCAAAAAACAAAATGTTCAGGAGACATGGTTCTAACCGTAAAATTATATTTTAGGAAAATTTACACACGAAATTATTGCACAGGATGTTTTAAAGTTAGAATAAGAAAACAACCCCTTGATTAACCCTGTATAATTTGCCAATTACTAAAGTTTACAAAAAACTGAGTTTATTTATTATATATTATTAAACTGAATTAAAGCTGATATAATTATGTACAGTTTGCTAGAAAATTCATGCAAATAGAGCTAAAAATAACAAAAACATAACACTTTAAATTTAACAAAAAAAAATTTCTCTGTTGCGTTTTTTTGCATTATTAAAATAATAATTTCCGTATAATTTAAAAACATTTTACTTAAAATGATATACAAAATAACGTCGGCATTATAAGGGACTTTATTTTTATTTATTGCCAAATTTTACTTCAACGATATAGTGAATTCGATTAAAACTTACAAGGAAATTTAACTTTCAAAGTAACAAATTGCTAAAAAATGGGCATATTAACCAAATTTTGAAAAACACTTTTGGAACAAATTTTGAAAAACTTTCATCTAGATGGCTGTACCAGTGAACAGTGTATGAAAGCATGTAGGGTTTCTAATTTAGTATAATCAGTTGAAATCTAGTTCCGGCAAAACTCTATAAATTTGGAATATTTTATCCCAATAGCATTCACCATTGTGTATTATTTGAAAATATTCTCAGAGGGACTCCCTTTATATATTAAATATATATAAAATAAATTATATGGTTGTGATAATATTGATATAGATGAAAAATATATTGTAAATGGAGAAGATATCATATTTTATTCGTAGCTGATAGAAAATATGTGTAAAGGCAATAGAGGTACGGTTTTTTTTTTCTCATTTATGGAGAATTATATCTACTAATTTCATTTCTGTAATGATATATTTTTTCTTTTTTCTACACTTATAAATATAAATTATATACTCAGAGAACTTATAACTTAATGCAATTACAATTTTTTATTAAATGTATTTTTTTAATGAAAAGATAATTTATTAAATTTAAAACACAAACATCGATATCGGCAATTATTCAAATTATAGAAGTTGAAATAAATAAAAAGAAAGAAGTATATTATAAAAACGTATATTTAAGAGTATTTTACCAAAGGTTAGTAATATATTCAGGACTAACTAGTGATTAAAAACCCTAAACTAAATAACTAGATAGGATATCTAATTTTAAACCTTAATGTTAAGTGAGAAATTTTTTGTAAAATAATCTTATTAATATTTATTGGTTTGAAGTCATGTGATTCTGTAAGATATATGAATGTAAGCTATATTTGTTTCTTATAGCAACATTTAATTAGTCTGTTAGTGGGCGTCCATTAAATACGTGAAGGAATCGACAATTATTACATAATTTTCGGCAATTATTACCTAATTTTTGGCAATTATTACCTAATTTTTTTCAGGGTAAAAATGTGAGATTTTTTTTTCAATTTAAAGTAAAACATGATTCTAGATTAAAATATGCCGAATGCTAACACAGTTCCTCTATAGGAACAGATTGCTACAAATTCGAGGTACGAGCATTGGTACCTCGGAAACCGTAATACATACGAAAATGGTTAAAATGTTCACCAAGATTCCATAAAAAGAATTTTAAAAATTTCAATGTTTGATGTGTTTTTTGGAAGAAACGGATTTTTTAGAAAATCAAAATACTAATTGCACATTCTCATAGCCACTTTATTAGGGCTATCTGATAGTATTTTTCGATTTTAAAATTAGCTGATAATTTGTGAGATACAGAGGCCAATTTAATTTTTTTTAAATACGGATCTGCACTTTTTATTTCAGGTTTTGAAAGAACTCGGTTTCCTGAATACAATGATATGCCACGCTTCATACTTTTTTTTGTTTGTTTTTTTTGTTAAGTTACTAACAACAACAAAATTATTTAATTATTATTTAAAATAATTTCAAGTCAGACTCTGTTTTTTTAAATTATTTAATCTGATTATATTCACCGCAACAATATTGATCAGCGCTAATTAGCATTGAATAAGAAAAATCGGGCCTATTGCAAGATTCAAATAAATAATATCCAGGTCAGCAAATTGAAGATATTATTTTTAACTTTTTTTATTATGAATTTGAACTCTCCGTGTACGATCTAATAATATGCATAATATTAATCCTAGTTATTATAAACAAATCAACTTCTACAAACTAGTTT